AATGTATGCACCCCACCCTACCTGTGTTGGCAGAGGAGGCATGCTGAGCAGAGTCCCATTGAGCTTATTCCAAGTAATATATGATTGCATGGTAATTGGGCTTCTTAATTCTGGCAATTAAATTATGTGCTGTTGTCTTTTACAAATCTGTTGTGAATGAGCATGGAGCAAACAGCAGTGTTGATAGGGCTCATTAAAAACTGATTTATTCAAAAGAAGATTGATTCCTTCCTAGAAACACAGCACATCTGTATGTATTTACAAAATTACCTGATAATGGAAGAAAGTTTTGAAATTAATTGCAAAATTACTTTTTAATTTTGAGAAAATTACAAAAATAAGTATAGGGATTTTTTTTAACCTCAAGATGCCTGACCAACTACGTTTGCTTTCTGAGCTCTTGAAGTCTTAATTCTATAACCTTTGATATTATTGCTAAAGTCTCTCTTTCTCCAGCATTGTTACAAATTCTCATTTTTAAAATTAACCTACTCAAGTAGTTCAGGATGGCAAATAATATTGCTAAATCTGAATGGTTACGTAGTAAACTTAATAACAATGAAGGGGAACCTCATTTTTCTTCTATCATTGCAAAAATAAATTAAAATCTCTAAGCTGCTTTTTTTTTTTTTGCATTCAAACTTTGCTTTGTTATATAGGAACTTTTGTTTAATTCTCCATGTGCCTAGATGAGAACATACTGAAATTTAGGGCAACTTAAATGGATTTCTTTTCAGCAAAAATAATAGTAGAACACGAAGACAAACACCATATGTAGTTTAAACTTTAAAGGCTGTGCTGTTAGACCCCTTACTAGTGTATTCTGTATTTGAGAGAGATTCTGTTTTTTGTATTGTAGAGACCGATCATAAAATGAACAAAACGGTATGCATTAATTTATTTTTGTGGCTTTTAAAAAGCAGAAACTAACAGAAGTTACATGGCTCATATCTGACATCATGCACCACCGGTGGCTGCTGTTAGCTGCATGCTTTTGGGTAATATTCATGTTCATGGTTGCTAGCAAGTTCATCACATTGACCTTCAAAGATCCTGATGGTAAGTTGATTCAACTTTATTCTTATTAATGCAAGTAATCGCTGAACAATTTTTGTGTCCAAAACAGTGTGAGAGAAATTAAACAGATCATCTAGTTTTTTTCCCCTACCCATTCATATTTTCATTATGTTGACTTCAAAATAAGCCTAAAAGATGAAACAGCTTGCCTGTTAGTTGCAACAGTGAAATAGTTAATGCAGATCAAGTTGGCCACGCCCACCCTGGATCTCCAAAGTCAAACACAACCCTGATGCGGCTCTCAATGATAATCGAGTTTGACAAAGGTTTTCAAATCATGAGATTTGTTTTTTAAATAATTGGTATTCTATTTAAAATCTTGAATTACAGCCTGATTTGAAGTTTAATTTAATTATAATTATATAGTTGTGATCAATAAAAATATTTTATGCAGTATGAAAAAAAGTTTGCTTTCTGTTTTCTTCATCTAGTTCATGGTGCCAAGCAAGAGCCAGTAATACCAACAACTATCACTGAAGTAGGAAGAGGTCACGTAACAAAAGAGAAGAGGCTGCCTGGACAGTTTCAGGTATATAAAAGGGACAGGTTGAAAGGTTAAATAAATGGTATGGTTCTCTATGTCATATTTCATTGTGTTAGACTATAACTGGTTCCTAAAACCAGTCAACCAAATACTATAGAGATTTATGAGCAAAGCATCACTGTAGCCATCTGTACTGCCTTCTGTTCAAATGCAATTTTTCCTTGCTTTATTGTCCAGGAATTGAGGAGTTTTAATTTTAAAAACTATTTTTGTATTGTTTTATGAATTAAAACTTTGTTACATTATTGGGTTATGTTCATATTTTAAAACACAATATTTTATGTTTTTGTATATAATTGGGGATACATTTCTAAGCATGCTTAACTGGGAATCTGTTGAACATAACAGATTCTAACAATCTGGAGTACCACTTTTTGTAGCAGCTTTTAGAACACATTTAGAAGTTCTAAAAGTTTCTAAATTGTACTTCAGTTTTTCATTTAAATTGAAAAATTTAAAAACTACCAGTTTGCAACATTTTTGCATTTTATTTTTAATCAGTAAAGTAAAAATCATCTTCCTTTTTCTTTACGGTGCAGAAAAAAATATTCATTTTAGTCCACATTTAGAATATTGTTTGGTTTGTGTTCCCTATTTATTTGTAAATTCATTTAATTTCTAAATTTTTATTTTGTTTCCTTACTGATGAAATCAAACTACTTTGCATCAGCTTGACCGAAGCAGTTATTTCAAAAGACAGTAATACTGAAATACTGACTTTTAGAAACCTTGTACAGGTATTCCTCAACTTAAAACCACAATTGAGCCTAAAATTTCTAAGCAAGACAGTTGTTAAGTGAATTTTGCCCCATTTTGCGACTTTTCTTGCTACAGTTAAGTGAATTACTGCTTTGATTAAGTTAGTAACAGTTGTTAAATTAATCTGACTTCCTAATTATCTTTGCTTGTCAGATGGTCACAAAAGCTGATCACATGACCCTGGGACATGGCAACTGCCAGTTGCCAAGAGCCTGAAGTTTAAATCACATGACCATGGGATGCTACAAAGGTCATGTGAAAACGGTCCTAAGTCACTTTTTTCAATGCTGCTGTAAATTTGAAGGGTCACTAAACAAATGGATGTAAGTCAAGGACTACCTGTATATGTTTGTAATGCTCAACTCTTGTATGAGTTGAACCTTGAAATGCAAAATAATTTTTGTTCTTCTCTTCTGCCATCCCAATCCCTTTTTATATTAAGACAATAGGAAAAGGTCTATCTGAAGACCTTGTACACGAAGGCCTGGTCCATATGGAGAGGCTTGAACTACTCAGGAATGTCTGCCAAGATGCATCTCTGAAAAACCTCACCCATACTACTGTTTCCAAGTTTGTTTTGGATCGAATTTTTGTATGTGACAAGCACAAGATCCTCTTCTGTCAAACTCCAAAAGTTGGCAATACTCAGTGGAAGAAAGTCTTGATTGTTTTAAATGGTATTTAGTTAACTTTCAAAGTCTCAAATGTATGTTTACTTAGAGAAAGAAAGGTTTCAAAAATTTCTAACAGCAAAATATAAAAATGTTGTTAGTTGCAAAGTTGTGTCAGGACAGACCAGTTTGATCGCCTTGCAGTCCAAGGGACTCGCAGGAGTCTTCTCCAGCACTATAATTCAAAGGTCTCAATTCTTTGGTGCTCAAATCTATTCTACATCAATTCTAGCTGTTCTACTAAAATCTGTCATTGCCCATCCAAAGAACTTTACATATATAATAGGCTTCCTGTCCTGATTATTTTGTGAAATGATTGTATGCTGAGATTAATAAAGGAGAAACTATGCTAACCTTTTAAAGTGAGACAAATAAGGTATCACAGTTACCTTAAATGTAAAGGTTTTATTTAAAGCTCTCAAGATCCCCAGGATTCTTTACAGCATAAAATTTGATCAAAATGCAGCTTGGAGATAAGGAAGGAAGAAAAGGATGATTACAAAAATGTTTGCAACATATTTCCATATTTTAATTTCTAGTGGAAAATTATGGTTTCTATGGCTAGAATTAATACAAATCAATAGTTTAAATATGTATATCCATTTTTTTAGAATTGAGCAATTAAGTTTATTATTTGAACCTAACACCATCTTTAGGAAATATGTACAGGTTCTTTGGTAGAATGTTCAATGTTATTTTAATCCACATCAGCATTAGCACCACATCTACTTCAGACAGACAGAGATATAGATGGGTGTCTGACAACCTAATCTTTGAAGGAACAGATAATGCTTTATCTCTTATCACATCATTGAATTCATTTTGAATTATTGGTAACATTTAGTTCAGGGAAAATTATAATAAAAAATAAAATAGTTTGTAAAAATAACAAACACCAAGAAACTACTATAAAACAGAGTAATAATTGTAATTTATTTAAGTAGCACCTTTAATTTTAATAGAAAACAAAGGAAGTGAAATGGGTTCAATTCTACTACATTATAAAATCAGCTCAATTCCATGTGGATATTATGTGAAAGACAATATTGCTTTGAAAAATTTGACTTTGGAGACTATGATTAAAATATTGTAATTAAGGTCTTCTATTGATGGAATTCTTTCTGGCATTGGACCCATTAAATAGAGTCCACTCAGTCTTTCATAAAAGTTGGAGATCCTTTGGACCAAATAGGACTATGACAGATCTATTATTACAAGTAAAGAAAAAGAAAGTCCTAGCGTACGAACAGATTTCTACAATATTGGATTTTGGCTTAAGGACAGGCCAAACTTGCTGAACTACCTGTATGCTTATATATACTTTTCAGGCATAAGGCTGTAATGGAGTTGCACATAACTCTGTGGATAGTATGAAATTAGGGAATTGGCTAATCACATGTCAGTATTAGGAATCTGGCTTTCTGCCTATATCTAAAAAAAAATAGTACGATTGACTCACTGTATTTTTGGAACCAGCTGTTTGGAACCAGCTGTCCAGATTCTGCAACTGGTCAGACTTTGGGATAAAATATCTTCCAGACATAGAATGCTGACAACTGAAAGGGATTATACCAATATGCAGATTCCAGGAGTCTTTGAATAGAAATCCTAGATTGTCACAATGTGCTGTTACATGGACACGTGTAGTTGTGATGAAAACCATTGAGCTTTCCATTTTTTAAAGAGAAAATTTTGGGGTTCAGGTCTGGATTATAGGAAGATGAGAAACTTAATAGCAATATCAGGACGTGGAGACTGGACTGGAAAGTAGAAAAGTATTCCATAAATATGTAGCAGCAAACTACTTGATGGTCATTTCCATGAAGTCACCAAAGCCTGATTTGTCTTTACCTTTTTACCTCATAAATAAATAATCATGACAGCCACTAGTGTAGATCACAATGGGAATGGACTGAAAAGTACCATTGTAAGAGCAATTTCTAACTTACTTCCTTAGGAGCTTTTCCTTCCATTGATGAGATCCCTGAAAACATTGTGCATGACCATGAGAAGAATGGTCTTCCACGCTTATCTTCCTTCAGTGATTCTGAAATTAAAAAAAGGTAAGTAGTATTTTAATGTGTCTTTGAAAATTATTTCCATTATGAAAATCTCATTTTTGATCATTTGTGCAGAGTTTATGATTATTTATTTAAATGTATTATAGCTGCCCACTCCCATAGACTCTTAAATAGAGGCAATAATCAGAAAAGGTTGTACAGGTAATCCTTGACCTACAACCACAATTGAGCCCAGAATTTATGTTAAGTGAGAAATTTATCCTATTTTACAACTTTTCTTGCCACAGTTATTAAGTGAACCACTGCAGTTGTTAAGTTAGTAACAGGCTTATTAAGCGAATCTGGCTTCCCCATTGACTTTGCTTGTCAGAAGGTTGCAAAAGGGATCATATGATCCCAGGACACTGCAACTGTCATAGACCAGTTGTCAAGCATCTGAATGTAAATCCCGTGACCATGAGAATTCTGCAAATGTCATAAATGTGAAAAATGATCATGTCACTTTTTTCAGTGCTGTTGTAACTTTGAACAGTCACTAAATGAACTGTTGTAAGTTGAGGACTACCTGTATTATAGCTTTGACTGGTGTTTTGGCTGTATGGGCTCATAGTTATATACTGTAAAAAACATTAACATTGTAGTAAAGACCAGTATGCTATAAAATCGTCTTTTTATTATTTTTACATTTTGCATCTTGGCTTTAGAAGAGAGAGTATAGCTGTAAAGTACTGCTTTGGGATTTCTAAGAAATCATGTGGAAGCAAAAATGGAACTGCCTCTCCCTATACACAAAAACACAGAGACCTTTATAAGCAATAGTTCTATGAAAACATGGGTTGGAATGATGGTTACAGTTATTACTTCATTTAAAAAAAATTCTTAATATTGATAGTAAATGGTATTCATAAGTGTCCTTGATAGCATTTCCATCTTTAAAAATAAGGTATAACTGTGAAAAAATAATTTGAGTACAGGAAATCTTTGTTTAGTTACAGTTGAAAGCAAGATCATAAATGAGAGGATTGATCATAAAGTTACTTCATCGTTGTCATAATTGTAAATAGTCACCAAATGACACAGTTGTTAAGCAAGGACTACCTGTATAGTCCTATAATCAGAACTAGAAGAAAAAAATATGTTGACATTGTCATCTCTTAAAAATAGTATTTTAAGGACTCTATTTGTACAATTTGATTTCATTGCTTCTCTATCTTTATATTTTGCTATTTTTTCAAAATAGCCAAGTATTTTAGCAGCTGCATTCCACATTAAGTGAACCAATTTCTGTTCAGTGATAGTAGTTGATTGTGTGCACTTCTTGGAACAGATTTACAAGACATACAACAATGAGTAAATCCTGCTGACAGATTCCTATCAGGTTCTTTGGCCATTGCGTAAAAGTGGCCAAACAGTGTCTTGATTCTTTCCAAACAATATTCTTAAGAAGCTCTCTTTAACAAGATTTATTGAGAAGAAAAAGATAGTGTTGTAAGAATTTCAACATTCTGCATTTAGTACCAATAGATACCTGCATGATAGACACAAACTCCTTAATCTTCTTCCTAGGAGCCTGCCTGTAATCCTGCAAGGAGGTAGATCATTTTCTTAAAATGGAGAAGTTAGCAGTTTTTATCAGTCTGGGAACCAATTACAATAGTCTTTTTTTCAGTGACCATTCAAAGTTACAGTAATGATGAACAAAGGGATTTACAACTGTTCATCATACTTCTGGTCATCACAGTGTCCCAAGGTCATGTGATCATGATTGGAGCACTTGGCAACCAGCTTTCAATTACAATGAACACAGTATTTGTGACTTTCGTTGCTAACTTCCACCAAGGAAAGTCAATGGAGAAGCTGGCAGGAGGTTGCAAATGGCTGCAGGATGCTGCAACCACATGGGAGTCACCTAATGATAGCAACTGGAATTGCTGCCACTGTGCTTATTAAGTTAACATGGCCATGAGTTGCCAATCCCAATTATATCATTAAGGGAGGACCATCTGTTCTATAATACTATCCTGTCATTAGATGAATGTAACTGGAAGCAATCAAAGTTTTGCAGATTTCTCAGCTGAATAGTGTACAAAAATGCTTAACATCAAAATAAATATATTATTTTAAAATTTCCCTAACAAATACATTTAACCTGTTCGTAAAAGTCCACCATGTGATATCTCACTTGCGTATCATTTGCTACTATAGTCAATAAGAGAAGAAATCAACATGGTTATATACTATGAATTTTCAGTAAATTTAAAAATATTACCCACAATTATTTTTGCTTATGTTTTCCATTTAGATTGAAACTGTATTTCAAGTTCCTCATCGTAAGAGATCCTTTTGAGAGGCTTATTTCTGCATTTAAAGATAAATTTGTCCACAATCCTAGATTTGAACCTTGGTATAGACATGAAATTGCTCCTGGAATTATTCGAAAATATAGAAAGAATCGCACTGAGACTAAAGGACTGCAGTTTGAGGACTTCGTGCGCTACCTAGGTGATCCAAATCATCGATGGTTAGATATACAATTTGGAGATCACATAATTCATTGGGTAACCTATGTTGAACTATGTGCCCCCTGTGAAATAACATATAGCGTAATTGGACATCATGAAACTTTGGAGGAAGATGCACCATACATCTTAAAGGAAGCAGGAATTGACCATCTGGTATCTTATCCTACAATTCCTCCAGGCATAACGATATATAACAAAACAAAAGTGGAACGCTATTTTTCAGGCATAAGCAAGAGAGACATAAGACGCCTTTATGCCCACTTTGAAGGAGATTTTAATCTTTTTGGCTATCAAGAACCAGATTTTCTATTAAACTAGTATCTGGAAATTCTGGACAAATTAATCTAAATCTTAACTGTAAACGTATACTGTGTAACAGGCTCATTGCAATGTTTCTAGATTTTTCCAAATGTTCTTTGCATTTGTTGAATATTTGCAATAGGAGCAACAAAGGACTGCCAATTAGTCACTAAAAAAAGCATTACATGACACTGCGATAAAGCAGTGCAAAAATGACTAAGATAGTAAATGTCAGACATTCTTTTTTCCTTAGCTAGTAGAGAATGAACGGTCCAGTAATCTGTAAAGAAACTTGATATGAATACGAAACAAAACATTTAAAAAGGGCAGGAAATAACACTTATATCAATGATCTTACAAATCTATGGAGGCCAAACAGATTAGTAAGTATTGTATAACTTAAGGAAAAGATTCTAGATCCTACCATGGAATCAATCTGAAAGTCCTTTTGCTGTAGTCTTATGATGGTTGCTTACTGTTATTCATTCAGGAAATAACAGTTTCACAAATTTTTATTTGTAAACTGAGTTATTATGAGGTGAATTTTTTTTTTGCAAGACAAGCTATGGATCCCATTGAGGAAATTTTAGAGAACACTTCATTTGTTTTGTAACTTAAATAAATACCAGTACAGTATTGACTGTAATTTACCAGGATCATTAAGTCTATGCATTTTGCTATGATCTGCTAATCCTACCCCCAGTGGTGCTATTATAAAGTGAATGAGATCAATGTTCTATTGAACCTAGCATCTTATTTTGGGGATTTCTTAGTTTAAGAAATAATCATACATATAGATGAGACAGCAAGCTGCCATAAGGTATATTTATTTCATGTGTAATATGTAAGTCATTTTTGATCTCTCAAATCTTGATATTATAAAACAGATTACAAAATTGAGAAGCTGGTGCCTATTGGTATAAACATGTACCATCATATTCATAATGAGGCATAATTCTATCCCTATGCTCAATAATTTATGTGGAGTTTTCACAACTGACCACTGGGTTTGGTTAATTCAGGTTCATAAAATTAAGAAATTATCCCTCCTCCCAAAACACTCAATTTTTCCAAATGAGTTTTTTTTTTTCAAACATTCATAGCAGAATTTGCCTTATAAAATTATCAATGAATAAACAGCCAGCTTAATCCAAAATATTAACGCCTGGGTGCATAACAATGGAAATATTAATATAAAATGTAAATGCCCAGGATTGTAAAAGCTTAATATGTGTGTGTTATTTCTGTTGGATGAAGAAAACTTTTAAGTTCACCAGCAATAAAATCTTAAGAGTTGATGCCTTTGTTCCCTTGGGTTTTCAGGAGGAACAAACCAGTTAAATTTTAGTTAGCAGTACATCAAAAGAAGTAAATTTGAAGCAATACTTTATATGCTGTAATAAGGTCTTAATGACCTTGGCTAGAATGGTAGAAATGAAGAGAAAATCTATTAAACTGACTATAATTCTCAAGAACTTTTGTATTTGTAAACTTTAAAAAAAAAATCAGTGCCAAAACTATTCCTTTCTGTGAAATAAAGACCATGCTAGTGAGGGCTAATTTCGGAAAGATTCCTAAAAACTGAGCCATTCTACACAATATAGAAACAAAGGTAGTAGAATTCAAAATGTAACTGGATGAGCAGGAGTGGTTTTGTACAACCGTTTGGTCCTTTCTACTCCCCTGCATGTAAATAAGGTATACAGTAAGTACTCTCCCAAGTCCTTCCACCTTTTGGTGAGGTGGAATACCTGGGCCTGTAGACAGTATTTGTTAAGAAATGGTTCTGTTTTACAATCTTACCATCTCAACTGTAGCAAATCTGGAGAAAACAGCATCATAACTTTTTTGGCTTTTTTTGTGCCTTCAAATTAGTCTGGACTCCTGCTGATTAGATGGAGAAGTCTTTGGCAACAATTTTCAGGAGTGATTTGCCTTTGTCATCTTAGGGCTAAGAGTTGCCAAAGGTAGGATTAGAACTCACAGTCCTGATTTCTAGCCTGGTGCCTTTAATCACAATAAATTAGCTCTTCCTTTGTGATTAGAGAAAGCATATAAAATATAACCCCCACATAGATTACTGCTATTTTTACTTTGTAATGTGTAGAATGGTTTACATTTATGTACTGTGAATTATGGGATATTTTTTATGTAGACTTTTTCCTGACAGATACCTGTTCTGTGTAGGAAAATTACATATTAAATTG